TAGACTTTGATAACCATACCTTAAAAATTAAATACTCAGAAAGAAAAGCTACTATTTATACAACTCATGTTAGTGGAGAACCAGTACCTGATGAATTTGAAAAATTCACAGATGAAGATGAATGGATAGATGAAATTAAAGAACAAGATGAAGCTAAAACTTACCATACTGAAGAAGAAGACCAAGAAGATGAAGATCTCTTTTACAATTCTTGGGCTGATGTTATCTTTAATAAAAACCCTGCATTATATGTTGCTCTAACTGCTGAAGTTCCTACAACTTTTTCTTAACTATTAATCTTTCTTTAAGTAAAAACCAAAAGGAAAAGACTGAAGAGACCCTTGTAAACAACTATCAACATTTTGCAGAAAATTTTCAGAAGAAGGACAAACTCTAAAACTGAGACAAACTAAAGAAATCTGCCATGAAATTGATATACCAGATGCTAAACTAATTAAACAACAACTCTATAGAGCATCACCAGATGATCTAGAATTCTTGGAAAAAAAAATTAAAGAAATAGAAAAACATGAAATTATCTGAGAATCAAATAGTCTATAGTCTTCACCAGTGGTTATTGTATCTAAAAAGAATGGGAAACAGTGAATCTGTATTAACTACTGAAAGTTAAATACAGTTACAACAAAAGATGTATATCCTCTTCCTGATATTAATGAGATTTTATTTGTCTTTAAAGGAGCTCAATGGTTTATAAGCCTGGATCTAGCCAGTGGATATTGGCAAGTTGCTGTTTGAGAAGAAGATAAAAAGAAAACAGCTTTCATTACTCATCATGGAACATATGAGTTTAATGTTATGCCTTTTGGTTTGTGCAATGCATCAGCTACTTTTTAACATTTAATGGATAAAATTCTATATCCATTTATTAATAAGTTCTTAGTTGTATATTTAGATGATATTACTATCTATTCAAAAACATTTGAAGAATATTGTTCTCATTTAAAACTAGTTTTTAACAAACTTACAGAAGCTAATCTCAAACTAAATATTGAAAAATGTTCATTTTTCTTAAACAAACTTAAATTCTTAGGACATATTATAGAAAAAGATGAGTAAAGCCTGATGAAGAAAAGATCAAAAATGTTAAAAACTTTCTAATACCTACTACTATCCATCAAATTAGAGGTTTTCTTGGACTAGCCTCATACTATAGAAAATTTATAAAAGAATTTTCTAAAATTGGCAAATCTTTAAATATTCTTTTACAAAAAGACCAACTATATTATTGGGAAAAAAAACAAGAAGAAGCTTTCCAAACTTTAAAGAAATGTCTTATTACTGCACCAATTTTACAATATCCTAATTTTAGTGAACCATTCTATATTCATAATGATGCTTCATAAACTGGTCTTGGAGCTGTATTAGCACAAATTGATAAACAAAAAGAGAGCATATAATTGTATATGCTAGTAGAAGCCTCTCTAAAGCAGAACAAAACTACTCTGCCACAGAATTAGTATGCTTTGCTGTAGTATGAGCAGTTGAACATTTTTATCAGTATATAGGAAGAAACTACTTTTATCTAATCACAGACCATGCTGCTTTAAAATGGCTAAGAACTACCAAACTAGTAGGAAAAGACTGAAGAGACCCTTGTAAACAACTATCAACATTTTGCAGAAAATTTTCAGAAGAAGGACAAACTCTAA